TACATACGTCATTGTAAGTGTACTCAGTACTCTAGTGCAGGGCCGTCACAACTACATACTCCCAGGCTGATTTTCTGGGACACAACCAAGAACCATCAGAAATGACACAGACTGAGTTATGGCGCGATCCAAAAGGGGTAGGACCTGCCGTCTTCGAAGTATGTGAGGTGATTATTGAGGTCCACAATGGAGGTTTAGAATTAAGAATTCAAAGATCAAGAAGAGATAATTGTGGTAGCAAGATACCAAAGATAATTATGATCAAGAGAAAATAATAATACAAATTGCGAAGCTGGAGATCTGTGTAGGCCATTTCTTCCGATTCTTATAATCAAAACAACTCATTAATATAATCTCCAGCTCGTCCTTGAACTGTACATCGCATGAGGGTAGCTGAGTTGAATTGCCAATCTCAGATATTTAATCTGGGAAATAATATGTGGATTCTTCCTGTATCCTAAATACTAATGTTTCCCGAGAGCCTATATTACTAATTTATGCATGGTTCTTTTATTAAGCACAGGATTGCTATTTCCGAGAGTCAGTCTTGGAGATGACCTTGTAATTTGATCTCTCTAGTTAATATTGGCTGGCCGGATATTCCGGTTGGTAACTCTGCTTCAGTCCAGAGTATTCAAGCCATAACAGACTATCTTAGCTAGCAGGGAAGCTAACCATCGTTTGATGCTTCCTGACCTAGCATCTTTTGCTGGAGAATGATGGATGCCGGGGATATTTCCGCTTCATGATCAAGAGCAATTTTTAGAGTGGTACACCACGCTGGGAGTGCCGCTCTGATTGCTTTCAGAATCGTTTTTTCCATCAAAGATATATGCCAGCCTACTTCAGTTCCATATTCTTTATCTTGCAGTGTATTTATTCGAGTAAGACCAGGCCACCACGCTTCTGCCCCATGTAGAGCTGTGCTCAGGACGCAGGCCTGCACAGCACGAATCAGAGGTCCGGGTGCTGTACCGCGTTGAGCTCCGTTGATATATCGTAGAAGTTTAGCCTTTCCAGTCCATTCCTGTTCATGCGGCTTGAAGTTAAGCTGATTATCATTCCCGACTACTAGCCACAGGATGTGAAGTGGCGATTCGATCCAGTGATCTTTCATCAAGATGAAAAGGCTAGCCGTGTTGATTTTCTTTCTAGGTCCTCCACCAATCACTAGAAGTTCTGCCTTTGGTAGGCCAAATCCAATGCAATGTTTTCGGGCGAGAAGGATGAGGCTATCGAGGTCATTTTAAACTGCAGAGATAGCTTCCGCCCCGATGTTTCCTGCTATGGTCATAGACTGAGATAGGACAATAATATTTGTAATAATAGAGTCTACTAGGCAAAGCAGTTTAGATGGTATACCACTACACCATCCAGCCATGACGGCGTTTGAAGTACTAGCTGAAATCTCAAGATCCAAGTCTTGGCGTGCACAAAGCTCAGATTGTAAAGCTCCTTGCCTAACTTTAAGATAAGAATTTTTAATCATAGTCCCTTTTGAGTCTAAGACTGTGAAGGACTGCCTAAGTTCAAAATGACACGCCTGTCGAGATTATTTCCATCTATTGTATCGTCTCGTCTAATTGACATAATGTCTCTCACGTAAATTCCGATGATTTGCCTCCAACATTGGTACACCACAAGTTTTGTGCCACCGTGGGTATTGATATTCCTGTGGGCATGTATTTGGATGCTAACTGAGACCAGAGGCTGAATTGAAGAGGGTTAAGATCGTTAAAATGAGGATGTATTAGGTAGCACTAGTAAACCTGATGAGGCTTTGGTCAGAACCGATTTTATAAGGAGTGAAAATTTGATGTGGTGAAATGAAACTGTTATTATGATTGGTATATGATTTGGGAATTTACACTTGCGCTGGAACAGCTAAGACAGTATGTGGATAGATATGTTCATTAACATGAAGAAGTGAAGTTACTACAATAAATATTATGTTACACAGTGGGGGAAGCTCGTCCCTTATCCCCTAACTTGTTCGTTTGTCGACCGATCACGTTACCAGCATGCAGCTCACCAAAGTGTGCAACCAACTAAGCAGCCATGCCATTTATCCCAAATCAACAACCCACCTCTTATATTGCACACATTACTACTTGTAATGTCGTTATGTAGAGATTGGATCTCCTCCTTGCGCCATAATGCCATGCTGCCATAGTAACTACCTATGCACCAGCTACTAGATCTACCATATTACATAGCTGAGCATAACAACGGTGATTTGAGCAGTTCGCATAGATTTTCTTAAAAGTCAGTCTATATTTGGAATTGGTAGTAATGATGAGAATACTCTCAAGATGTATAAAGTGCCTAGGTAGGCTCCTCGTTAAGCAGTAACAGTGAACTCAATTATCTCAGAAAGAAATCCATCTTAATCCAATTCTACTTAGTAAGTGTGGAATTTTAGATCATTGTCTCATGAGCCAAGCTATCCGGCATTGCGGAATTTGACCGAATTTGGCTCTTAGAGAATATTTCACTCTAAAGCTCGTTGAGAGCACCATGAACAGGGTTTCATTGTTTGTCCTTCTCTAAAGGCTCAATACTATCAGTCTGAAAAATCAAAGGGAGTTGGGAAAGAACGATAAAAAAATTCTAGGTCAAGTGCTCTGCGACTCGCTTTAGCTCTTGTATATCATTCACCAATAGATTTATTTCTGCGTCGGCAATCTGACCCGCGCTATCTGTTACTGTAATGATCAAGTTCATTACCTCGCACTTCTATCTGCTGAAGAAAACATGGTGTTTCCTGTATTTAATGCGTAGATGGCACTTTCTGAAGTCTTGGCCTTGGCGCCCAAAAAAGCTTCCAAGTCGAAAACCCTCGAATATGCCAGGTCCGGCTGGCTCTCCTACCTCAATTTGTGAAGTCCCGTTAGGAGTGTTGTAATGAAGGGAGTAACATGACTGCATTACAATAAACTGTTCATATTAGAATAATGTGCACATGCGCCATGGGATATGATTGACCTAAATCATCACTCATTGGTATGTCATAGTATTTCACAATAGATTCCTAATGGTATCTATTGGCGCCAGGATATCTCACATCCTTCCTTTCTCGGTTAGACAAGGACAGATGTTGGGACATCCACTAGTGTGCAGAACCCCCTTATTCATGTAAAAGGAAGAAGGTCCTGTCATGTAGATAAATTAAGCAATTCATACAATAGGAAATTATAATAACCTCCATATTATTTACACACTTGAGAATGCTAGGGAATATCCTCAAGTTCGTCCATTGATCCAAGTCCTAAGAGTATAACTCACGAACTTTACTTCTCTTAAAGCCATAGCTACCTCCTTACATACCTTCATCCTAACAGTACGTCATTCCAGCTCAACATAGCCTTTCAATAAGGGGAACACTCGAGCCCTATATCTCAGTACTTATTTTTCCCCTCGCGAGTATACGTTCAGTAGCAATTTGTTAGCGGGATCTAGCTGGTGATTTATGGGGTAAGCTCCGGTTTGCAATTGAAGCAACTGCCTATTCGTTGGTTTGCAAGCGAGGTGGTTGCGTTAAGGTTGAGTTGCAGGACTTGAAAGAAAATAGTGGGACTGACATTTGTGAGATCTAGTCGATTTTAGGTATGCTTGCGTTTGCTTCTGGCTTCTATTTGGATAAGATTTTTCTTAGGTACGCCATACATGTAGCGCATACTGGGTGTTAAAGCCGGGTCAATCTGACATTGAAGAATTTTTCTTTGCCAGGGCGTCATGACTTTTTTCGGAGCGACACAGGCATCCTTGGGTATATTCATGTTTTGATTTCCCTTATTTGTTGATACACGGGGAAAAGGATTAGTTGTCACGTAAAGTTATCTAGACATTATGTGGTAGTTGATAATGAGATAGAGAGCGTTAATTTGTCTGATTTCCTACGAGTTTTTAGACTTGAAAACAAGATTCTCATCGGAGGGCAAAGACTGAACACCTGTACGTTGCATCCTCGTTGAACCTGGGAGCGAAATGTTCTCCCAGAGCCAAGTTCAGTCAAGTATAGCAATACTCAAGAAGTTGGCCTACGAGGCAATGATCCAAGACTCTCTATGAAATCGATCTTCACAGAAACCTCATCAAGTTTACAAGTACGACCTGGTATATCCTCGTTTCAATGACCACACCTCTCATCGACTATTCTTTGGCCTAAGCTGGCCACCGAATACACGCCCACGCCAATACTTATACCCGACGGAGAAAGCAAAGCGTGGCGCACAAATCCGGGAGACTGCTCTTTGGGATAGACGTGAGAGGTACCAGGACAAGTTTACAAGACGACACGGAGGATGGATACAATTTTGACGGGCGTGTGATTTAGAATTTTCGCAAGAGTTATGCGAATTGAGCTTTGTGCGCGCCAAACCTTCGCTTGCAAGAGTGTAGCTGACACTATAAACACAAGCCAACGATGGAAGGTGTTGTGGTCCGTCTCCTGGTGGTGATCTCCGGTATAGTCTCAGCAGCCTGGGCACCTCCTTCACTTGAGAAGGAGACATCTCAGATCACGTTTCGAGCGGAAAAATGTGAACGAATGATGGAGGCATCTCTGGATAACTCAGGGTTTTTGAGATGTTCCCCTGGGTGGGTATTGACGGATGAGGGTTGACTTTGGGTGAACAAAAAGCCGCCATAACTTCGCAGTGGTACCTGCAAATGAAATCCGAGGCATAAGTGCACTTCTTGTACATTGAGTCATCTATTATGTACTTTTCTTTGATATAGTCTCATAGCTAGTTAGCTGCATACGCCATTAAAATCTGATGCAAAAATAAATATCTCATCATGATTAATAATGAGACGGCCATTCACAAACTGATCAATGGGGTAAGATGCGGTGCAGCTATGCTCGGTTAACACATAGATACGTTATCTAACTGCTTGCATCCGCTACATGCCAGCTGCAGATGATAGACACAATCAGCTTGTAACTAAAGCTTACACCAGTGACTTTTTTATTATCTCTGGTCTATCGCATACTGACAATGACAAACTCAGACGAAATAGAGATAGCTAACAGCAGTTACGTGACCTTAGTGTCCTCTGACGGTTTTGAGATTGTGATTCTTCGTGAAGCAGCTTGCATTTCAGGAATGATTAAAGCGATGCTCGCAGGTATGGTAGTTGACTTACTCTCTTTCTGGTACACATTGTGTAGCTAATGGTGTTTCAAGGTGACTACAGAGAAACTCAACAGGGACGTTGTGTGTTCAATGAAATCAAGTAGGCAGCTTAAACCGAACCTGCTCGTTTCTCCTGCTTACGCACCTTCCATACGAATGAGGATTATCTTTAATCTACTCCAATAGCCAATGATTACATCAAATTCTCGTTAACAGATCCTCTTTACCTGAAAGCAAAGCATGAGAACTGGATGACGCATTTTACACTTGATCTGAGGCCTACTATCTCTCGTATCCCCTCCGGATAGCTTCTGTCCGAACTCAACTTTCCTAGTGGAAAGATCAGAATATGCATTCACCTGATAGTTTATTGATTACCCTGCTAGTTTTAAAATTCACATCACCAATTAGTCTCACATGACTGATAATCTTCTCGTTAGTGGCATAGTTTTGGAAAAAGTAGCAGAATACTTCTACTACAATTATAAGAACCGAAACCAAGCTAATGTACCGGATATGGTGATACCCCTAGAGTTGTGTTTAGAACTATTCATGGCGGCAGATTTTTTGGATGGTAGGTCTTCAAAAAACAATTGTGATTATTCTGACCATCAATTTTCTAGCATAACCAACAAGCAGTATTTGATAGCTAGTATTCTAAAACGATTCAGCGGAATTATGTGACTTTTGATATACCAGTGCAGTGTTGAAGCTGAAAATGTTAAACTAGGTTAATAGTAACGATTGTTTCAGAAGAATCCCATTTAAGCATTTGCGTCAATCCTCACAAACAATAGGAATAGATGTCTAAAAATAATGGAACATAAAAGCCAACTCCCTCATTGCAATCTTGCCTCGGATGACGAGGGAAGACTGAGCGGATACATCCACAGTCTATAGACACCTATTGTAAGGAACTGAAAGGTTTTCTGCCTCTATATTCAAGACCCAGTTTCGAATAGTAGATTAGGCTCGTGTCAATTCACTTTTCTAAGACCGGCATATTTAATTAATAAAATGATGGATTTATTTTTCTAGCCGATACAAATGCTAGAAATGGAATGATAATTGTGATTCATGATTCGTGATCTTACACAATTCTCAGTGCAATATTCTTCCATGAGATTGGAAATGATATAGAATGAGCCCTGTATTTTATTTTGGTCAAGACAACTGTTGTAACTTATTTGCAATTCGACCGAATCGCACAATTCACGAGGAGAAACATAAATACATTGTATTTTCTTCGAAACAAGAGCTTGCAGCGTACTTTGGCTAGTTTCTATCAAATAATGGAATTTACTGTTGCTCTACGTCGAGTACCTGACAACTTATAACTGATCTAAGTTCGAAATTTAAAATTGTGGGTCAGTAATAAATATTGTGATAACATAATATCTGCTGAGTACATGATTTAATGAAAATTACTTGTTATATTGTTCTGGGTATGGTACCTGACAACTGTTGGAAGTACTAACTATTGATTGGGAAGTCACGAGCGCTAAGCGGAAATAGGTCGAATCTCAACAATTCAATTTAGGAATGCATACAGTCAGATGGAAAAGGAGTGCAAGACTGAACACCTACACGCGGTGTCCTCTACGAACCTGGGAGTGAAATATTCTCCCAGAGCCAAGTTCAGTCAAATTTCGCAACATCATACAAGTTGGCCCACGAGGCAATGGTTCAAGTTACTCCACCAAGACGTTTTTTTCGCTCCAACCGAATTTAACTCCTATCTTCGTCTCATCAAGTGTACAAGTACGACTAAGTACATCCTCATCACAATGACTACACCTCACTTCGACAATTATCTGTCCTCAGCTGGTCACCAAGTACATGCCCACGGCGATATTTTAACCGACGGAGGAAGTAAAGCATGGCGCACAAATCCGGGAGACTGCTCTTTGGGATGGACGTGAGAGGGATCAGGACAAGTTTCAAGATGAAGCAGAAGAGGGATACATTTTCGACGGGCGTGAAATTTCGAATTTTGGCCAGAGTTTTACGAGTTGAGCTTTGTGCGCGCCAGGACTTCGCTTGCGAGAGTGCAGCTGACACTATAAACACAAGCCAACGATGGAAGGTGTTGTGGTCCGTCTCCTGGTGGTGATCTCCGGTATAGTCTCAGCAGCCTGGGCACCTCCTTCACTTGAGAAGGAGACATCTCAGATCACGTTTCGCGCGGAAAATGTGAACGAATGATGGAGGCATCTCTGGATAACTCAGGGTTTTTGAGATGTTCCCCTGGGTGGGTATTCACGGATGAGGGTTGACTTTGGGTGAACAAAAATCCGCCATAACTTCGCAGTGGTACCTGCAAATGAAATCTGAGGCATGAGTGCTCCTCTTGTAAATTGAGTCATCTTTTCTGTACTTTTCTTTGATATTGTGTCATAGCTAGATAGCTGCATACGCGATTAAAATCTGATGCTAAAAAGAAGATGACCCGTTTCGAACGACTTTTGGATGCTAGGCTAGGCTTCTTCACGGAAGTCACTCTCGGCCAAGACTTTTCTGACATTCTTTCACGACCTTTGGTATGTTCTGCGGCATGAATTAGGGCAGGAGTAAGGAGGAGGCTAGGAAGGTTGAGAGACGCTCTCAGGTATACATAGGTCTGCTGCGCCCGGCTGGCCGGCCTCTTCGTCATCGGAGAGCAGCGCACCCAGTGGTTTTTGAGACTTTTCCTTGCAGCTACACACCTGCAAATGGCCATCGTTTCGTTGGCTGGAGGGGGAAGATAATGACGGGATAACGGCTCTTCTTAGTGTGTAATCGAATGAAGAACTGTGGGGGTATTACTGCTGGAAAGAAGTCGTGAAGGAGGCATAGTAGGGAGTACACTACCCGAGGCATAGATACTCCCGGCCTGTAGGCAGAAAGTACCTACATGTCCTTAAATAGTTATAGTAATTATAGGACAATAAACACATACACACTAATATGTGAATTCTATATCCCCCAGATGTAGAATATTTATGCGCCTACATACAGTTCCTCTGGGATAATGATAATGATAATTTATTCGTGATGGGCACAAGCCTTGCACTCAAAGAGCATGACACGGAGAAGCTAGTCTTCTCCGGCGAGTAGATACGACGATAACTCAGTTTGCCATTTGGACTACTCATGTAGTGGGTGCATTCGCTGATACCACTCGAGACCTTGGTGCTAAGTACTTTCACTCTTGCCTCAACCATTAATATCCACCAAAGGGAAAGCATGAAAACCTTTGGCTACCCTAACATGCCTTTGCCATCTTGTATATAGCCGCCGCGCGAGATGTGGCCTCGCAGTCCTCCCTTTCTCGAGTGAGGTAGGTGTCCAGGCTAGCCAGACTTTAATTCGGGGAGATGAAGACCAATAGGCGGACCAAAACACCTTCCATCGTTGCCTGTGTTTAGAGTGTCGGTTGCACTATCCGAAATCGTTGCCTCTGCACCCACAGACACCCTTAAGTCGAAAATACTCAAGGAAGTGCGTCTAAGCATGCTGATTTGTGACTTCTTCACTCGATCGTCCCACGTCCCAGCTGTCTGTCGTCTCTCAAGATATGAAGCCCCATTAATTCGATGGTTCCCCATAGACCAAGACCCGAGCTTAGTAGATTTTGACTTCAATTCCCCCTCGCGGGTATACATAGCATCGTAAATGAGTAGTGGGAGATGGCCAATTTTGGTGGGGCAAATACCCGATTGCAATTGGAGTAACGCCATTATCGGTATTTGAGGTGAGGTGGTGTAGTAAGATTGAGGTGGAGGACTCGCGTGAGAATGATAGGTCGGACTTTGACGAGAAGTCGTCGATTTTAGATGTGTTTGTGATTGCTTTCGACTTCGATTTGGACGCGATTCTTCTTGGCTATTCCAGATATGCAGAGCATACTGAGCGATTACACCGGCACCACTGGAAGGTGAAGAATTCGTCCTTGCCAGCAGTTCCTCTGGGATAGAAAGGGTGCAACTTGAAACTGGGCTGTTCATGGGCTTAACCCTGCAGGCGTAGCTAGGCTAGCTCGTAATACAGTCTCTTACGGGTGACAAAGGTAAAATTGTCAAAATGACTGGGGTTAGATCCCTGTATATTTTGCCTTATTTGGTATGATCTTCATGCAGGCCCATGTCTAGTTATTCGACTAGTTATGCAAGCAAGGTGCAATATCCAATGACATTCCGTGAAAGTCTAAATTATGGGGATGGTTTTGAACTCAATGGGAAAAGTACAATAGTCCTCAGTTGAAATTCAATATTGAAAAACGTCAGTTGATAGTCTCTAAAAATGCACATCTATTTCAAAAATTATTGCTCTGTATTACAAAAGTCTACATCGAAGCCCTCAGTATGGCTCGCAACTAAAATGAAAGCGTACTACATGTTTTGTGTGTCTTCTCCATCCTAATACTTTGTGTACCCTCCATTTGCCTTTATCACTGCTACACATCTTTCGTGCATGCTGCCAACTAGTGACAATAGCTCCTCTGAAGATATAGAGTCCCATGCATCCTGAAGCAATGTCTTCAACGTGGCAGAGCGCACAAGCCTGGCCCCATTTTTCTCTGGACTATTTACCTGAATGTGGTTTTTCAAGATATTCCACAATGACTCAATCGGGTTCAGGTCCGGAGAGTAAGGTGGCCATCTAATAGGCGTTATTCCAACCTCACGCAGCGCCTCAATTGTTGAGTACGCTTTGTGACATGGTGCGTTGTCGTGCATGTATAAAATTTCTGGATTTTCCGAGTGAAATTGATTCAAAATTGGCAAAGTCCTTTCACAAAAGGATGAGGCCCTCATTGATCCCCAATCCTTCTCCCAGACTAGGAATGGGCCTTTTTGTGATCCATAAAATGATCCCCAAAACATCCAGCTGTTCCCATGAGCATGGCGAGCCACAATACAAGTCTCATCAAACTCATCATCAGGCTAAACTCTGCTGTTAGTAAAAGGAAGATTTAGATAGAATTTAAACGTACTTTTCTTGTGACACGAGGTTTTATATGACAATCACCCGAAACCCAGGTTTCATCAGTCCACAGTATGCGACTCCATTGTTCATCGCTCCAATCTAAATGTAATTGGGCGAACTCCAATCTTTTCTGTTTGTTCACTGCGCTTAACGGAGGCTTCTTCCGAGCAATGCATCTGCTGTAGCCTCTTTTTTTGAGTGCATTAGAAATTAGACGTTCACTGCATCCCCAGTGGCTGAAGGGCCCCATGGCTAGTTCCAAATAGCACATCTGCCGATTTTCAGGTGACTCCCGGACGAATGCTTCAAGGTCATCAACTTGTTCTGCGCTTAATTTTGGTAAGGGTCCTTTGCGAGACATAGGATTCTCAGTCTCTCGAGCACACGCAAGTTGTACTTGTCTTATTGTGAAGCCAAGTTTGTCGGATATATTTTGAAGTGTCAAGCCAAGTCTTCTTATTGCTCTTATTTCTATACATTGATCGCGAGTTAGATGCTTGCGAACTTTAGTTTCTGAAGCAGACTTTTCGAGAGACACTATTTGCTAGAATAGAGGATGAGTTGATAGTGGTGAGAAATTTCAGTGATTGTGTAGGCTTGGCAGCCAAAAATGTCGTTGAAAATGTGTTTTACTAAGCGATTATTAGAAGAAGACGATTGGACCATACTTCATGGCGAGCGGGGTAAGGAGGAGAGACATACTAACCTATTACGAG